AAGGAGAGAAAAGTCACTGAGATGGGAGCTAAGTCAGTGTGAGAAACAGGGACTAGAAGCAGGAGGAGCCAAAGGGGAGCGAAGATTGTGAATTTCATTGGAAAGTGTCTCAAATGAGTTGCTTTCATTGTAGAATTTTCAAAATAAAGTAAGCCAAGAGCATTTCCTGAAATGACTTAAATCTTCATTTGTTACCCTCTAATTTCTTTTGTTAGCAACCAACTGGTAGTCTTCCTTATTCAGCTCCTGCAATCTTGTAGCTCTCTGGATCTAGCATGAAATGTACATATATATATATGTAAATGTGTAACTGCAAGGTTCCTTGGTTGGGGTTCGGCTGCTCAGTGGTTCCCAGCACTCACTGACTGGAGGGGGTTGGGAATTCTTAATGTCTTGGTTGCAGCTTGGACTGATTAAATTAGGATCTTTGGATGCCAGTTACTAACATTATCCTTCCTCTGTCCCTCTTTTCTCATTCTCAGTCTCATTCTCTTTTTTTTTTTTCTTTTTTTGGGGGGTAGGGACAGATGGTGGTATAATTTTAAGGTACCTTTTATTTTCATGTGCAAACAAGTACTACTAAGCCAGACTCAAACTTCTAGCAGGTGGATCACATTACTTTTAGACACAGATCCTACGTGCCATTTTCATTTATTCAGGTTCCTTTTCAACTCGGCCTTTGCGCTCGGAGAGCTCTGCGCGCACAGCATCTCGGACGTGTCTAGTTCCTTCATTCCAGCAGCTGTCCGCTGCTCTGGCAGCTTTTCATTTGCTCGGTCCAGGGCGCCCCCTGCTGGCCGGTAGCAGTCTGCTCACTGCTGTAGAGAGCCTCGCTTGGGATTTGAGCTGCTCTGCAGAGCACAGCGCTGAATCGCGGCGTTTGAGGACCACGTTTTTAATCCCACATTGAGCCCATATGCCACTGCCAAAAGTGAGCATTGAAGCATGCTACTATCTCAACCAGTGACAGTTTAAGGAGTGAGGAGAGAGAAGAAATAAATGTAAATACACTTGGTGTCATCTGTTCTAGAGCCAGGTGTGTGACGGCTCAGCTCTGCCAAACTACTGTGTGAGTTTCTCTTAGGGTTTCTCATTGGGACACCAAAAAGAAAAAAATGGTGTGGAATTGAAAGCAGTACAGCTGTGAGGCTGTCACTGTCTCAGAGTGGGCACAGATTGCCCACAGTTGCGGTTCAAAGCTGCCATCACGGTTTGAGTTCTGGCTCCCCCCTTTCTCATCTGACTTCCTGCTCATGTGCCCGGAAAGGCAGGGGGTGCTGCCCCACCATGTAGGAGAGTCTGGTGTTACTCCTGGCTCCCGGCTTCAGCTACTACAGGTTCTGGAGGGAGTGAACCAATGACTGGGACATCTCCCTGACTCACCCCTGCACCCCGTTCTCTGTCACTCTTTCATGTTACTGATTCATGAATTTCAAAGTCTGCAGTTACTTGGCTCGTCCCCATTCCCTAAGGTTCCACAGCTCAGTGTGCTTAAACTCATCAAAGCCCCTGGCGTCGCATGAGAACCCCGCATTTCCCACCTCGCGTGCCCCATGGTTTCTACATGCAAGACACCGGGCTCCTCTCTGTGGAGACTCTGCCCTGGAGAGGGGTGCCTTGAGCTGTGCCCTTCTGCTCGAAGCACAGGCGTTGCTAAGGGAAAGGCCCGCCCACCCCCCCGGGCTCGCATTCAGCAAACCCATGGTCTGTGCCAAGACTTGAGAAAGTGAGGATTGGCACAGCTCCTGTGGCTTGGGCGAAGGGGGAAATCTTCGCCAATGACACCGGTTCCTGAGTGCTGAGCTTCAGAAGTCTAGAGTTCTCTTCTTGTGGATGCTTCCACCAACGTCCCTGTTCTTGGCATCCTCTGCCCATACGGAGGCTGTGATGGACAGGAGCGTGTTACGTTTGTCAGTGTGTGGGCAAACCCGGAAGAATGGGTTTGACGTCAGCAGGGCCATGAGTGTGGACCTCATGTCCTTTCCTTTCCCTAACGGCGCGTGGTGCAGGAAGCCTCTTCTGGCTGGTGTGTGCCGGAGCGTAAGGGCGAGAGGCCGCTGTGAGCCTCCCACTTGGGCACGTGCTGTCCATCACCAGCACACGTGGGGAGTTCTAAGTGTCCCTCTCGGAGGCAACCTTCCAAGCTCCATGTCTGGATGCGCAGGTACCCCTCACCTTGATCCAACAGCTTCTCTGTTGTCCACGCGGCCCAGAACTAAGCTCCCTGCCTGCAGCCCATTCTCCTGCCTCGTCTCTTGCACTTACATCAGCTAATAACTTTGTTATTCTCTTTTAGCCGTGTGGTGCATTGTCCGTATATCCATGTGGGTTGAACTCAACCAGAGGTTTCTCAAAACCATGTGCGTCTTGATGACGTGTGTGACCCTCTGATGGGTCACCTGTCTCTGACCCTCTGTGGTCGGCCACCTCTTCTGGCCAACACTTCCTGCATTCTTCATGGGAGATGCAGGGCCAGGTTAGGCTGCAGTAAATGTGCCTCTCACCTGAAAGCCTCCAGCAGTCCACAGTTTGAGAAACCTGAAACGGAGAAATTTTGTCTCCTGGGTTCAGTATCTGGCTTAAGCTTTCCCTCCCATAATTCAGTTTACAGTCCCGCCCGGTGAGTTTCACTATGTGATCCAGAGTCATCCTGCATCCATGTCCATGCCTTCACTGAGTCATTCATGCGTTCAGCTAGTCAGTCCACAGTTGGTATGTTTCTGCTGTCGGCATGTGGTAGGCCCCATGTGTCCAGCAGTGCCCAGCGTGCTGTCCCGTCTGAGGCCCGTGGCCCAGCGGGAAGGCAGGGGACTCACAGGCCGTGGTAAACAGACATTCAGGTAAGGTACATGGAGATCACAGGGAAGCAGAGAATCCAAGAGTCTTTGAGGAAACACTGAGTCTTGAGCCACAGCTGGAGGGAGAGGCACCGCTGGGCACATCAGGCAGGTGCTTAGGAAGACACCCTTGCAGGAGGGGTGGGAAGGCACAGGGCGCAGCAGTGCTGTCACGTGTGGGACGGGGAGACCCTTCCTCACACCCGGTCCTCAGCCGCCACCCTGCCCGCCTACTTTGCCGGACCGTGGGATCTCTGTCGTGCCACCTTTCTCCTCTCCCTGGCTTTCTCTTGGCACCCAAACCTCCCAGAGGACACTTGGGCAGGGGGTACAACTCAACACTGGCCCAGGTCACCTGCCTCATTGGGCCTCCACACGTCCAGGCAGAATCCACTTCCTGTCCTTGTCCATTTCATGAGGATGTAACTGTCAACCAAGTGAATGGCACACACAGGGAGCGGGAGGTCAGGCACAAAGGCCGTTCTCTCTGCAAATGGTGCAGGGTTGCAGGCAGGAGAAACAACTGAGGTGGCAGCTCAGTGGGCATGTCTGTGATTGAAGGGAGCCTTGTGTGCTTTTCCGGGCAGCTGACCAGAGCCTGGTGCCCCTGAACCTGGCACTGGGGACAGATGGGGACAATGTTGAGCAGAAGGTTTTGCTCAAACGTGATGGCACCAGAAGCAGCCAGGTAAACAGTCATGCTTTTATAAGGAGCTCCCACGAAGCTTTTCATCGTTTGCAAAGCTTCCCAAGGCTCTGCTTTGCAGCTGGCCCGTTGGCTGCGTTCAGAAGGTGCCCGTGAACTGAAATCTCCCTCTGCTTGCTAGGGTTTGTTTCTGTGGAATCCCTTGGTCTGTCCTGCAGAACTCGCAGGGACAAGTGGAGCTGTGCGTGCTGTCCCGGTCCTTGATCCTCTCTCGACAGAACCCGTGGGGTGACTGAAAGGAAGCGGGCAGCGCCCGTAGCAAGGTTGTCCACGTCTGACACAAGGCCTTTCTCTTCCCCTCTGACAACTCTCCCAACCTCCCGTCCTGTCCCCTTCCCTCTCCCTAGCCCGCCCATCACAGCGTGACCCTCTTGTGTCCATCCACCAATTAATGTTAGTATCAGCAAGTTCTTGTACGATTAACCAGTTTGGTTTTAATAGAAATCAATGTATTGCCTGATCTGCAGGTTCCTGACTCGGCGTCTCAGTGCAGAGCACACTGACGTAGGGAGTGGTGGGTGGAGCACCCACTGCGCGTGCCCCCTGTTGGCACCCCGCCTGTCCCCTTATGCGTCAGTAGTCGGGGCTCGGTGTTGTCTTTTGCCAGGCAGCACCTGCTGACTCTCAGAGATGTGTGTGTGCAGGCTTTGTCTCCTTACCCTGTGCTCGTGCGTCCTCCTTCCCCGCCGGCCTCTGGCTTCCGCTCCTGCGCTCTTGGTTGTGCCCATGCAGTGGGGTCAGCGCCACGGTGCCTGCCCGCGGTGCAATGAGGAGGCTGAGGCTTGGGGAGGCCATTTCTTGCCCAAGGTGACATGACTGGGTGGGAGGGAGCACGGAGGATGTGTTCAGCCTTTGGGCTCCCACCTCTTGCAGTCTGCCATTCTCACCATCGTTATGTGAGAGCAGTGACACGGGCCTGGCAAGTCTAACGGAGTGGGCGCTGTTCAGTGTCAGCTGGGCTAGCCTCCAGATCACACAGTGGAGTGATAGAAGCCTAGCAGGGTAACGGAAGCGGAAGTCGCCTAAGGAGCGATTGTCGCTGCAGTGAGAGAAGCAGAGCATGCCGACCTGTGTGTGTGGGGATGCAGTGGTGGCATCCTCGGGGCTGCGGAATGATGTGATGCTGGGTGAAGGACAAGGCTCGTCAGAGGCGACGCACTCGGCTCTGTGAGGGCGACAGTGTGTGGTTTCTTCACTGGCCTGTTCGATTTGGACTTGACAAAATATAGCAGATTGAACTTGTCTCATCACGTTGAGCTGTGGGACACAGTGATTCATCTTGGGTGGCTCCTTTGTCGGGCATGTTTGTACTGAAATAAAATCCTTGGCACATGATAATGGAAAAAAAAAAAGCAATTCCAGAGTTTCATAACATAGGCTGAGCTGTTGTCCACACTTGAGTGTTGAGTGCTGCAGAAATAACGCGTCTGTTTCTACCGTTCCCTGCTCCCCACCAGGTCCTTGGCACTCCAAATGAGGACACGTGGCCCGGAGTTCATGCTTTGCCGCATTTTAAGCCAGGTACGTTTCAAGGACTGCAAGCGCCAAGCGCTTCCTGTGTGCAAAGGGCTTCCACTCCAGGGACGGTGGCCACGGAAAATTCTGGCTGCTCCCGCCACTGAGTACTTGCTCCATCCACGCACGCCGTGCCCCCTTTTGCTTTCACACCCCGCTTGTCTGTAAAGGGGGGCTGAATGGCACCCCTCCGAGAGATGGCCATCACACACACTTTGATTGCTGCGTCATGCAGGAATTTAATTTCCTCATCGGTTAACCTTGAATCCGCATCAGTCAAGCCAAATGTCAAATGGATGTGCTCCAGTGGTGACAGTGTATGAAGAAGTTTCAAATTGTGGAAAAACAAAAAAAGGAAATGCCACATTTTGACTTATTATACAAAACTGTTAATATGTTTCATCAGTTGGCGTTTGTACAGTGTCGTGTGCTTCTGAATGTAAAATATAGGAATCCCTAATTTGGCTGGGTGCTTTGGTGGTTCAGTGGTAGAATTCTCACCACCCAAGAATTCCTTAAATTGGAAATCTGAGAGAAAATGGAGTACTTTATAAATAGGTTGTCACTTTTCCTCTCACCAGCAGGTGGCAGTCATGAAACTCTGTTCCGTAAATACACTTAAAATCTCAAACATGGCCTGTTTTTAAAGGAAGAAAGACTAGGAATTGAAACATTGAATAAATAAAGTGAGAGGATTGAATTGTTTTATACAGTTATTCTCTTGTTGGTTGCTTTTTAGCAATTTGTTTCTCAGTTACAAAACCCCAGTTTATAAAATACAGACCCACCACGCAATTACTGAAAGCAATTTTATGCAAGGGTTATTAGTCCTTTACCCAACATGGATGAGAGCTATGAATAATTTCTGTTAAAGGGAGCCAAGGATTTTCTTTTTGTCCTCCTCCCTTCTTTGGTGGGAAGGGGGGGGCATCAGGAATAAATTATCGATTCTAAACAATGACGGGGTTGGGAAACTATTTTTACTTCTAATATTTTCCTTGTGAGAGTGTGTAGTGTGCTGAGGATTCTTCTATGTTCTTCAGCTACTCCAAAGACCCTTTGTGCTTCTACGGCAAATCTAAATGGCTTGTGTGTTCTGAAAGGCTGCGGGACCTTCACCACAGGACGAGTTCCCGCTTCTCGCTTTCCTAGTGGAGAACAGCAGTCCCTTCTGGACCTGCCTGTCCGCAGTGGCGTGTGAGTGAGCACAGCTCTTACACCTGCTTCAGTTGGGAGCTTTTAGAGAAAGGTGGCTTCCCCATGTTCTATCCTAGTGAAATGAAATGGTACAGGAGAATTTGAAAAGTTACATGCAGAAAGGAACAATTAAAACAGTGACTGGGCTTGCCGAGTTTCTGCACTGCGACCACATGGAGTGATTTGTTGGACGTGGCTAGAACGTAACCTTTACTAAGTGCGTTCTGGAAGCTGCTGTAGTGTAGTTCGTAAGCTAAGAGACGGTAAAGCTCGTGTGACCAGGGACTGTGAGCAGTACACGTGTGGTTTCCACGAATGTCTGTTGCTCTGCAGTATGTCGGGGTCTAAGCCATCCGTGTGGCCACACACCCAGAAGAGGACTCTCTAGCTCAGGGAGCTGTCTGGGGCAGGAGGACAGATTTTGTGCGATTTCAAAGTAGAGAATGCATTGCAGTAGCCCAGACGTTGAAGTGCTGGCAAGGGGCGTGGTGCAGTCTCCCTCACCTCTGCTAACCCTGGCCCCTCCAAGGCCCCGGGCTGTTACGTCTTATCTTTCTTGCCTTCCTGTAAGTGTAAGAAACTATGAGTGTACATTTTTATTTTTTCCCTTGTTAAACACAAGTTGGCGTCTGGTCTTCCCCGTGAGAGCATCCCGTGGGTGTGTGCTCGCGTCGGCTTGTGCACGAGGCCGTGACTTCCCTCGTCTCGTGGTGCTGCGTGCTCCGTGGTGTGGATTTCATGCGCACCCGAGTCGGGCTGTCTGGGTTGTTTCCAGTGTTTAGTTGTTAGGAATGTTCATGGAAAGAAGAACCTGTCCTGCACCCACGTACACTTGGCAGTGGCTGCAGGCGCGTCTGCCAGGTCCGTCAGGAGCAGGTGACAGAATCTGGAGTGTAGACGTGATTTGGAGCACTTCCTCGGCTGAGGGGCCGATGCCGACTGCTCTGTCACCACAAGCGACAGCAGCAAGCTGCGTCCCCCCGCCGCGGTGCACGGCCAGAGCTTGGATCTTGCTGAGCAGTTACATGACAGAGGGAATCTTGGTCTCCTTTTTTTTTTTTTAAGATTTATTTTTTTATTGGAAAGGTAGATTTACAAAGAGAAAGAAAGACAGCAAAGATCTTCCATGTGTTGGTTCACTCTCCAAATACCTGCACCGGCCGGAGCTGCACCGATCCAACCAAGAGCCAGGAGTTTCTTCCGGATTTTCCCACGCAGGTGCGTGGTCCCAAGGCGTTGGGACATCCTCTGATGCTTTCCCAGGCCACACGCAAGGCATTGGATGGGAAGTGGAGCAGCCGGGATTAGAACCCAGTGCCCAAATGAAATCCCAGTGCCAGCAAGAGGAGGATTAGACAATTGAGCCATCACAGCAGACCCAAATTTGCTCCCTTTTTTTTTTTTTAATTATGAGGATGAGATCTTTTTGTGTGTTTCATAATTCCTTGCCCATGTTTTTCCAGGAAAAGTGTCTCTTCTGCTTGCGTGTTTGTGTGTGTGTGTGTGTGTGTGTGTGTGTAAGATTCTGTATCATTTTCGTGTCAATTTCTAGGAACTTTTTTTTTAATTCTAGAGAAATTATCCCTTTACCTGTGAAAAGCTTTCACTCTTCTGATATTTTTTAAATGACCTTTTAAATTTTCTTGCAAGCTTAAATGTAATCCTCAATTGCATGTCTCTCTTGACTTGCCTAAGTGAATTCATTTTGCTGCAAGAAAAACCTTCAGTGTAATATCTACTATATCTAAATTTATGCACACCGATTCCAATATGTGTTCTGTGAAAGAGAAAGCAGTTTTAAAACGAATTATGGTTGTGATCCAGGGTCTAAAGAGCCGACTCTTGGTTTTAGCATATTCAAAACTAATTATCCAGTAGCTATTTTGAAATCTACTTATTTTTGTATTGAGTTTTATATAATAAATTAGATTAGCTTCTTGATTCAGCAATAGTTATTGAACACCATTTGTTCGTCTGGGGAGACTGCACTCAACAAAATGCCAGGGTTCTCTCTCAGACGTTCAGCGACCCAGCTCTGTCACGTGGAGGAAGTCAGCTGTGGTGTCGCAGTGGATGCTGTGCAGATCATCCGGTGATGAGGAGTGTGTGGAAGCGTGTTCTGGAAGGCCCTGCCGAGGTTGAAGCAGAGGTGTCAGAGAGCCCCCGGAGCCGTGCCTGGCTGAAGCCAGGAGCCAGAGCTTCATCCAGTTCCCCCAGGCCTCCCGGAGTGCACATTGCCAGAAACTGGAACCGGAAGTGGGGCTGGGACCGGTCATGGGGTGCTGCTGTCCCAGGCAGTGTCGCAGCCACTGTGCAAAGCACCTGCCCCGGTCCTACCTGACTGATGCCAACTACAATGATCATAGATTCTATTCTACATGCAGGGACGTAACCTTGCCTTGGTTGTAGGAACGGCCTTCAAGGACTGTGCACGTATCTCCTTCTCCCCTCAGACTGCGCAGCCGAAACCCCCGGTGGGGCTGCCGCGTGTGGAGTGCAGGGCACTCAGAGCCCCTGCAGCCGCCAGCAGCCTGACCTCCTTTCACAAAGAGTTATCACCCCAGTCACACGGCGCATTGATGAGCTCTGTGGATTGTATGGAACAGAGGAAGGAAAGCGATGGATGACCAGAAGGGAAGGCTGCCTTTGCTCTCTAGTGGCAGCCATTGTGGCAGGGTGCAGGTGTTGCAAGCCACCGTAAATGTGAACACGGAAGTTGAGAGTCCATTTTTCAGTCGGCAGCAGCCACTTGAATCTGCTCAAGGGCAGGGCTCCTCCTGAGTGTTCACTGGGTGCCAGGCAATGCCACGCGCGGGAGATAGCCTCGTGAACAAGCAGATGCCTCCCTCGGGGAGCTTGCCTGCTGGAGGGGGAGTCAGACAAATTACAAGTCGCAAGAGTGGCTGGAGCCGGGAGGCCCCGGGGAAGCAGCCAGAGCCGATTTGGAGGGCCAGGTCCTTAGCAGGCCTACATAAGCAGGTGGGATTTTATTTGAAGTGCAAGAGGAATCACTGGGGGGTTTGGGGCAGGGAGGAAATTGATGTTTCACTTTGCAGAAGGACTCACTGGCAGCAAAAAGTCACGGACCTGTTTCAGAGGCGGCGTCTCAAGTGTGAAGTGCCCTTGGCTGGAGTCCGCCGGCAGCCCTGGGCTCAGGAGGTTTGATCCGTGCAGCTGCTCACTCGGGGAATTCTCACGCCAGTTAGTGATGCCACGGACTTGGGCGAGAACTTCCCCATGGGCCCACGACCCATCAGCTACTTGATGTGAAATAAAACGTACTGTGGCCAGTAATACAAAATAAAAAATAAGAAATAGTCAAGAAGTTTGATAATCCTTCAAAACTTTGAAATAATCCTGTTCCTGTCCATCAGACAGATACACGGAGAGACCTGTTTCTGTGCTGAGGCAGCACCCCGCACCTGCTTCCTGTCTGCTTGGGGAACTTGCCATCCGTCCTCACTAGAGGGCAGTGTTAGTGACAGCAGCTAGTTCAATGTCTGGAAAATGCCAGAAAAACATGGGCTAAGGTTCATTTTCAAGGAAAAATGAAGTTCTCCTAACTTAGAGTTTTTTTTAAATCTTAAAATTGATCCGTGATTCCTGCTGTCAGAAGTAGTGTACAGTTTGGTTTGCACTTGTCCTTGTCCACATATTCCCCACAAAAGTATACTGTTCCCGCTCCCCATCCAGCCTCAGGAAGATTAAAATCCTGGGCTATTGTAGTCTGCTTCAATGACCCAGATAATTTTCGAAGTGCTGAAGGAATGCCATCCCCTCCAAAGTCCACCACACGACCCAGCTGGTCT